GCCGTTACAAGGCAGATATGCAGAGAGAAGGAGAGACAAAGAGGAAAGGAAGATCTTTCATCCACTACTTCACTCCCCAAGTGGCTGTAATGGCCAGAGCTGAGCCAATGCGAAGCCACGAGCCTGGAGCGTCGTCCGGAACCCCCACATGAGTGTAGTGTTCCAGAGCTTTGGGCCACCCTTCACTGCTTTCCCAGGCCATTAGCAAGAAGCTCAATGGGAAGTAGAATAGCTGAGACTCAAACCAGCGCACATGGAGGATGCCAGCACTGCAGGGAGAGGCTTAACTTACTGTGCCATGGTGTCTGCTCCAAACTTACCTTCTTTCTTTTGAATTTTAAAGATTTTATTTTTATTATTTGTTTTATTGGAAAGGCGGATATACAGAGAGGAGAGACAGAGAGGAAGATCTTTCGTCCGATGATTCACTCCCCAAGTGAGTGTAACGGCTGATCCTATGCCGATCCGAAGCCAGGAGCCTCTTCCGGGTCTCCCACATGGGTGCAGGGTCCCAGAGCTTTGGGCTGTCCTCGACTGCTTTTCTGGGCCACAAGCAAGGAGCTGGAAGGGAAGCGGGGCTGCCGGGATAGAACCGGTGCCCATATGGGATCCTGGGCATGCAAGGCGAGGACCTTAACCACTGCGCCACCGTGCCAGGCTCTCTTTTGAATTTTAAAATTTTAATTGATAAGAATTGTGCATATTTATAAGGGGACAGTGTGGTAATGCAACCCATATATACAGTGTATGGTAGTTGTATACATAATCTTTTGAGGAGCCACCAGACTGTTATCCATAGAGACTACAACATTTTATATTCGCAATAGTGTGACCAAAGGTTTCACTTTCTCCACATCCTGCCAACACCTGTCACTTCCTGATATTTAAAACCATGTGCTCATTTCTTGCCCCTTCTACAGTGACCCCCCTTGGAGCCAGATCACTTCATCTTTGATCTGGATGATTCTCATAGAATCCAGCAGTTTCTGCCCGGGGACTCAGTAATTTGTTCTCAAACCACCTCTCAGTCCAGAACCCAGAATGGCTTACTGTTCCCACTCCACCCAAACACGAAGGAGAAGCCACAGTTCTTTTTTTTTATATATAATTTTTTTTATTTTGACAATCTTTACATAGTTAATTTGGGCAAAAAGGGTCAAGGGCTACAGGAAAGTGGGTAAGACTATTATTTCCATATTGTTTCCTTCATATATCTGAGGTAGAGGGGGATATTGAGGGAGAAGCCCCACCCGGTTTCCCACCCACCCCAAGTCCTGCATGTGGGGCATGCTCCGAGATACTCGTTGAAGTGGTTTCAATAGGTCACCAGTTTTGAAATTGCTGCCAATCTTGCCTCTCCAAACACGATGAGGTTGTTGAAAAATCCATTAATTGATATTGTCCATCATAGCGTCTCTATTTGCCCGGTATTTTGTTGCCAACCTATAGCTGAGGTGGTTGATTAACTTGTTCCATCTTCTGTCCCTTCATGGTTAGGGTTCTGAGTCTGGCATTTCAATTGGGGAGATCACCAAAGAAACTTCGTCTGAGGTGTTCCCAGGCCAGATACTTGTATGCACCAGCAAGCACAGGGCCCAGCACAGTCCATCACCCGGTCAGCTGGTAGTTGCAATTGCTGGGTTGGTTCTGTTTTCAGCCCCGCTGAGAAGCCACAGTTCTTACAGTGGCTTGGGAGGCCCTGCAGGACTTACTTCCCCTGCTAGACTCTGACTCTTTTCATTTGGCTGAGCCACACTATCACACCTCTCTATGGTGTCTGGTGACTGGCTCAGGGTTTGGGTCCTGTCTTTGCTCCAATCAACACCCTTTCCCCTAGAAGTCCTTAGCTGCAGCTTGTCCCTTGCTTCCGTTCAACCTTCAGGTTTCTTAGTGAGAGCCCTGGGATTTCTTAGGTGTTACCATTTGTACTGCCCTTTTTGCCCTTCTGTGCCCTGCGCTAAGCCAAGAGACAAGGATCCCCCTAAGCCCCTTCTCCTGGACTTTCTTGCCTCAGGCTTGGAGTGGATTTGGGGGATGAAATGCAAGAGGACAGAGGTGGCAGGTACTTTTTCTCCTGTTCCTCCATGCTGTGCCCTGCCAGAGACCTGCCTACCTCCACCACAGCTGGGTTGGATAGGGGACTCTTGCTGCAGCTGCCTGCTGTGTACCCTGAGACTTCCAACAACATGGTTTCCTCTCTTCACCCTCCAGTTGGCAAAGTGGGTCATGCCCTCCTGTAGTCTCCAGTGCCTCCACTGCTTCCAGAACCCTCTCTATTCAACATTGGGGAATCTTCTTCTTTTTTGGCCAAGGGCCATTTGGATATTTATAACATCATTCTCCAGCCATGCAAAATTATCATCTTAAAAATTAGCCTGTTACAGATTTATTGAGTCTTGAGTCCCGGCTGCGGTTGCCTCGACAGGGCCAGACAAAATTATTTCACTGGTCTTCCTCTGCCTTTGGGCCTGACTCCTGCGTGGGCTGGTAGCTGCTTCCTGCTGGGACCTGACTTGAAACACTTTCTGAACGACTTCATTCACACTTTGCAGCCCGCCTCCTGCCGGGTGAATCTGCCCTTCCCATGGCCTTCTTGTTCCATGGCACAGCACGTATAGTATAGCCATCTGACAGTTTCAGTGTTTCCTTGTGTTGGCTTTCCTCTGCCCTTCATGCCCTGGTTTGGAAGGCTCCAGGGTACAGGGATGTCTCCGTTGTGTTCACTCTTAAACCTGCAACGCTTGGCCATCGCTGACTTCCAGCAAACATGTATTAAATGAATGAATGAACGAACGTCAGACCGCGGAGCCACGGGGAGGGCAGCCTGTCCAGTGGTGGGAGCGGCCAGCAGAAGCGCTGAGTCTCAGTTCTGCGCGGCTCGCTCCGCCCCCGCCCGGAATGCAGAGCGCCTGGGATGCAGGCGGAAATGAGCGTGCTCCGCAGCCCTCCAGTCGAGTGTTTACTTAATTAGGGCCTGCATCCCGAGGCTCGTTTTTGTTTAACGGTCCGCCTAATAGCTCCGTCTGGCTCCGGGCAGGCGCGGGGGAACCCGTGAGGCGAGGGTATGCCCGGCCACCCGGTGTGGTCTGGGGCCCGTGCCATTGCTCAGTGCTCTCGCGTGCGGGAATCTGACTTCCCATGGGGTTGGGCAGGCACCCCTGTGGAAGAGTGGGGCAAGTGGGTGCGCAGAGCTCAGCGAGGGGCCTGGGACTTTCCCTGTGCCACGTCCACCCCTCACCCCAGCTCTGGGACCACTGGCGCGATAGCAGAAACACTCCCGAGACAACAAATGCCAGTTGGCTTGCTTTAGCCTCAGCCGTGAAATTGAAGGATTATAATACTTCTCATTCTCTTAGCTGGTGGGAGAGGGAAGGCCAAATGAGCCAGATCCTAGGTAATAAGATGCATGTGGGGCCTGGCTCAGCCAGGTACTCGGATCAGCGTCTCACAGATGTTAATCTACTTCATTCCCTCTGTGTGCAGGAATTTATTGTATCCTGGTACCACTGTAAAGGGAGGGAGGAGTTAACACAGCCCCATTTGACAGATGCACAACCGAGGCCTGGAGTGGGTCACTGCAATTTCACTTGCCAGACATGAGGCCAAGCTGGGCTTGGGAGAGAACCCCAACCGATGCAGCACGAACAACAGGCCTACAAGTTGGTGGGGGTGGGGGCAGGTAACCAGGCCAGGCCTTGGAGGTCCATCGTTGAAGACTCCTCAAACCCCTAAATATGATCTGGGAGGGAGAGGGAAGAGCAGGTGTCCAGCCCCTGGAGTTCTCAAGGAAAGAGGGAACAGGTGAGCAAGGAACCTGCCCAGGGGGGAAAGGGCAGGCCAGGTGCAGCAAGGGCAAGTTTCGTTCCGTGCCGGCTCTTCCTCAGCCCCGGCTCACTGGTGTTAGTTACCTCTTTGTCTGCTCATTTTTCAAATAAAATGAAACTGTCAATTAAAACAAAAAGAAGTGAAAAAGGAGGAATGCCTAGGTTGGCTGAATAAGAGGAAGATAGATGCAGGGATCCCAGCTCCGTGTTCCTATCTGGAGAAGGGTAAGTGGGGCCGTTTTCCAGGGGAGACCCCTGGAGGGCAGCTTTGCCCTGCCAGCAGTGCTTGCTTAGACCATACACGGTATGGAACCAACTGCGCCTGGAACACTGCCTTTATTTACATTGTACGGCAGATTGAGAACACATTCGTTATTTATTGGGGGGAGAGAGGTGAAGATTATGGGGTTGATAATCACCTCCCTCCTACTCCATCACCCACCACCCCTACCCCTTCTCTCCACCCCATCTCCACCCGCTCACCCTCTGGCGCCACCAGGGCTCCGAACTCTGGGACCTTCTCTCTCAGGCTCCGTTTTAAGTAAGAATTCTCCAGCGAGTTGAACCAGGTTCTGGGACGCGGTCTCCCCCACCCCGAACCGGGCAGTCACTATTAGGTTAAAAAGCCCCAGGTCCACCGCGCGGGCGGGCAGGCAAGGTGGAGACAGGAAGCCCCCGGCAGCGCCCCTCGCAGGGGCCAGGGGAAGCGGATGGCTTCCACCCAGCGACGCTCGCTGGGGCGCCTCGGGGATGGACGGAGAGCCGTGTGTTCCGGCAGTTTCAGATGCACCTCCGCTCTTCCCCGCTGCGGTCGCCGCAAGGCAAGGAAACCGGTCTCGCGCTTCGGAGGTGTGGGGGTGAAGCGGTCTTTCCGCTCCCTCGAACCCTGAACCCGAGGGAGCGGCCGAATTCCCGCCAGGAGCAACTCCGGAAAAGCCAGCAGAAGGCAGGCGGGCACGGTGGCGGGCAGGGGGCGGCTGCGAGGTGCGGGACCTCGCCGGCCGCGGCCCCACCTGCGAGGGGGCGGGGCTTCCTAGCTTGGAACCAATCAGCACCTACCTGCGCTCACCTGGCCTCCTCTTTCAGGCTGGGGCGAGCTGTACCGCTCAGAGGGGCACCCAGACCTGGATGCTGCGCTGCCGTCGCGGTAACTTCGTCATCCCTCACTCTCCGGCCATGGGGCTCACTGGTGGGCCTGTCGCGACCCTCCTCCTCCTCCTCCTGTTCCTCCAGGTACAACCCCGCGGGGCCCTTGCCCCAGTCTGGGCTGCTCCCAGGAGAACGGGCGGGGTCCGCACGCGACCGTGGCGTTGGAAAGAGCGCGGGGCTACGCTCCTTGGGACCCACGGATGCCCGGGGACCCGAAACGACTCCCCGGGGGAGTTGTGCGGAACTGGGTAGTCTCAGTCTCAGCGTCCCTCTTCCCACTCTGCCTTCAGGCGCAGATTTGCTGGCTGCGACGCGCAGCCTCTGAGCCTTGCCAGGCGGGCTTCGGGGAGGCTGAAGTGACCTTGGAAGCGGAAGGCGCGGAACCGAAGCCCGGGCAGGCGATGGAGAAAGGTAAGACACTCGGAGAGTCATCCCTGGTGGACCCTCGGAACGGGGATCGCACGCGATCCGCTCTCGGGTGGCCCGTGCAAGGGGTGTCCAGGAGGGCCGGGGAGGGGGGCTTTGGACGCCACTTCGAATTCTGTGGTATGCAGACGGTATCTCTGGTGTGGGGGTTGCTGGACAGGATAGCGCACTCTGACATCCACCTCTCCTGAGCCAGCCGCCGCTGCCTATCTATGTCCAGACCCTCCTGACCGCCCCCCCTTCAACCCGAGCGCTGGGCAGCTCGGCCGGCCCCGACGTGGTTAATTCTCCCGCTCTGGCCCCAGCGGAGGAATGCGCCGTCCACATTCCTCCCCCAGCCCCCGCGCAGGTGTGGAGATGAGCCGTGCCCGGGGCAGCCCCTTCGCCCCTTCTCGGGCCCCCTTTGTGAACCGTGCTTTGTGTCTCCGACAGACAGACCGGGTCTGTTTCTCTTCTCCGCGCTCCCCTCCCCCGCCCCCTTCTTCGCGGGCAGCTGGAATGCACTCTTAACCCTGCCCTTCCCAGAGGAGGCCCTGCACCCCTTGCTGCCCGCCAGGAAACTGGGCCTGGAACACCTGGGCAGGGACCTCAAAAACGTGGACACCCTCTCCTCTGCTCCAGTCTCTTGGGGTTGAGCTGCTAGGTTACTGTGGGGGTGGAGCGGAGTCGGAGGCGGAGGTGCCCTTAGCCGGTAGACTTGGGGCTGTAGGGTGGTGGATGGGAGATCAAAGCACATTTTTGATCTTCCGATTACTTGTCCCCAAGTTCAAAAGCTTGAGAGCAGAGGTCACACTGGTGTGGGGAACCAGTATGTTGGAGGAGACCCAAGCAGCTGCCTGCTGGTGGCAGTGGGGGAAGGTGGGCTCTGCCCCTCCCCGTGGAAAGAACTTTGGGGAGTTCCTCCAGGGGATCAAATCCCAGTTGTTGCACAGGGGTGGAACCCAGAATCCTTGGGTGGAGTTCCTGAGGATCTGGAATTGTGAAATTGTTTGAGAGCGTGTGTGTGCACGTGTGCGCACATTTTTCTGGGGGAAGGAATCTGTTGCTTACCTGACTTTCAAAACCTTGCTTCCATCCACTCTGGCACAAGCTAGAGCTCCAGTGGGGAAGCGTCAGTTCCCAGGACACAGAACCACTGCCTTTGTTCCTCAGAGAGGATTGGGCTCCTCTAAGCCAAGGCAAGCCTCATTTGAAAAATTCTTTTTCTAAATAACTCTGCAGATTGACGAAACAATTAACACCCAGGCCAGGCCAGCGGACCCCCTCCCCCCATCCCCTAGCCTCTTGGCTGTAGGGAGCTGAGGACAGGCATTAAGAGACCATGCCTCATAAACTTCTAAGTTCTTGCACATGAGTTTATTACTGGCTGCCTAACAAACTGCAATGGAGCCAACCTGTGGAAAAAAAAATGTTAAGTTGGGCAGGGCCCCAAATCCAATTCCGGCTCCCTGAGGAAGCTAACCAGACTTATGCCAAATCAGCACTCCCCACCCACCCCCTGCCCCATTGTCAAGTTCTCTAACTGTAGTCCGGAGAGTTTGCTGCTCTCTCAGTGTTGTCTGTGCCTTATCTTTCTTAGCGAAGCGAGAAATATCAGGTTCCCTGTCACCCACCAGGCTTGAGTCTGTTGGGGGGAAGTGTGATCAAGTTTTCTATTTCACAGTTGAGTTGGCCTGTGCTTCTCTGTGAGGTCAGGCATTTTAAGCCTTTTGAGGAAATTCAGCTTTCTTGGATGTCTGGTGAAGAGGGGGACTTCGTGCCAGAAACACCTGGGTCGTTAAATGGCGGCTGAACGTGCTTGGCTCTCGTTGCTGGAGTCCCCATGCACTGTGACCAGTGTTTAGAGAAAGCTTTGCGTGATATGAGCTGCCATTTTTCCCTCCCTTCCTCCCTCCCTCCCTTCCTTCCTTCCTTCCTTCCTTCTTTCCTTTCCTTCTTCCTTAGTACAGGTAAAAGTACATTTCTGGTATTGCCCTCTAACAACAACCAGAAAATACTGTTATTTCTCGCCTTGGCCTTCCCCAGATCCCCAGCCTTTAGACAACGGGAGCCCCAGGCTGATCCAGGGTGTTGAAAGAATTACCCCACAGGCACACACAGGCTCGGCAAGTCTGACCAACAACAGCTTCCACAGGGCTAAGGAACATTTTTGCCCCTGGGTACAAATATTACGGGTGTCTATGAAGTTGAGCTCAAAGAAATAATCTTGTATAATTAATACCTTGTTTGTGTGCGTGTCTTCTGCTTCAAAGCCCTCCTACAGCTCCGAGCTTGCTTTGTGTTCTCAGCAGTCCCTTGAAGCAGATAGAGTAAGTGGGAACAAGTTGAGAGCTCTTAGTCTCGGAGGTGGAACTTCAGAGCCCAGCCCTGCCCAAAGTTCTGAAAGGTGGAGAAGCGGAGGCACAGTTTAATGGTCCAACTCACCGGGATAAATGGCTTATGAACTTCTCTGGGGCTCACAGACACTGTGACCTCTCAGGTTGGGTCCAAGTCCTAGAACTTTGATAGGTATTTGTATAAATCATGCCAACCTTGAGTGTCAACCCACTTTACAGAAGAAACGTCAGGGGTTGTGACTCCACCAGAAGTCGTGCTTGCAGTGATCTGGTAGGATTTCAGTGGAAGTTTGATTCTCACATCCCATGGCACTTTAAAGATTTATTTATTTACTTGAAAGGCAGAGTTACAGAGGAAAGAGAGAGAGAGATCTTCTATCTGCTGGTTCTTTTCCCAAATGGCCACAATGGCTGGCACTGGATCATGCTTAAGCCAGGAGCTTGGAACTCCATCCAGGTCTCCCATGTGGGTACAGGAACCCAAACACTTGGGCCATCTTCCACTGCTTTCCCAAATATATTAGCAGAGAGCTAGATTGGAAATGGAGTAGGCATGATTTTGAACTGGCATCCATATGGGATACTGACATTGTAGGTGGTGGCTTGCCATGTCACTTATACCTGGCATTTTTTGCTACTGGAGAGTCAGAAGTAGATGGAAGGAAGAAGTGGGTTGTTGGAGCCCTAAATCTTAGTCACCAAGAACAACCTCCAACCTCAAAACCAATGAATTCTTTATTTCTTATTGTAGAATTTTCCAGAAACATTCCCGTAAAGAATTGATCTGGATATAGTCTTTATGGGAACCCTGGTTGTGGGGGCTTGATTCTCAATCAAGGAGTGGGAAGTTCGTATGGAGAGAAGCAGAGTAGAAATGTCCCCCACCCCAGCCCCACAAAACACAGACACACTGACCCACAGGTTAGAAGTCAGAGCAGGGATATCTTGGAGGGAAGGCACCTTGGAGACACTGCTAGGGCTCTTTCTTGACCAACAATGAAAAAGGGGAGGTAGTGGAGAGAACCTGCCCAGTGACAGCACAGGGATTAAAAGTGAGGGTGGGGCCCGGCACGGTGGCACAGTGGTTAAGGTCCTCACCTTGCACGCCCCGGGATCCCATATGGGCACCGGTTCTATCCCGGCAGCCCCGCTTCCCATCCAGCTCCCTGCCTGTGGCCCGGGAAAGCAGTTGAGGACGGCCCAGAGCTTTGGGACCCTGCACCTGCGTGGGAGACCCTGAAGAGGCTCCTGGCTTCGGATCGGCATAGCATCGGCCGTTGCGCTCACTTGGGGAGTGAATCATCAGACGGAAGATCTTCCTCTGTCTCTCCTCTCTGTATATCCACCTTTCCGATAAAAAAAAAAATAATAAAAAATAAATCTTTAAAGAAAAAAAAAGTGAGGGTGATCATTTGGCACAGCAGTTAAGACACCACTTTGGATGCCTACATCCCACACCGGAGCGCCTGGTTGTCCTTCCAGCTTGGGCGGACTGCTAATGCACACCTAGAGAGGCAGGAAGTAATGACTCAACTGCTAGACTCTCTGCCATCCACATGGGAGACCCGGATGGAGATTCTGTTTCCTGGCTTTGGGCTGTTGTGGGCACTTGACGAGTGAATAGGTGGATGAGAACTTTTTTGTCTCTCCACCTTTTAAATAAAATTGGGAGGCAAGGGAATGATGACAATGCCCTTTCCATCCTTGCTGGTGAACTATTGAGAGACAGCTAAAGTCAGGCAAACCTGGGACCTGCAGGGGCTCCCTGGCAGGCTCATCTCGCCTTCGACAGCCTCTGGTAGGTAATGACTGTAAAGGCTAATGACTGTTGCTAGCCTTGATAGGAACCTTCAGAGTTGAGTAACAGGTCTGAGTGTGAGTCGACAACAGGATTGGCTTTGCTCCTGTCAACTTTTATGTTGAAATCCATCAGTTCTGGGATGTGGCCTTTGTTGACATCTCATTCTTGGAGTAAATGTATATTTTGCATCTGCACATGTCAGACCCTGATCTAGAACTGCAACTAAAGCAGTGAGCAGGAGTAAGTCTCTACCCTAGGAGAGCTTCCAAGCTCATGTTAGTTATTTTTGGTGTCTGTGGCTGCTTTACAAACCAACTGGTAATAATTTCCCTTTGCCTTGCATCTTGGTGTAAGGTTGCTGGGGGCAAGTAGCAGCAAGGCCATGATTTAAATCCTGGCTGTCTCCGTAACCCTGGGGTGGGTATCCCATGCTGCCCCATAAATCTGCCTCTGAGGAACATAAAGGAACCTTGGCTCGGAGCCTCATGGCTGCCTTCCCAGATCAGCCCAGAGTAGGCTGGGTACTGAAGGCTGTGTCCTTCCTCACCGTTAGCGTGTGTCTGGGGAACAGGTCTCAAACCTCTAGTCTCCCTTCCCACCTCCTCACATGGCACACTGTTCCTAGGTTACCCAGGGACAGTGCCCTCATCTCCCTGTTGCATGAACAAGGTGTTGCATGTGTCAAGTACTGGGTTTCTAGAGCTGGAAGCTATAGCTCTACAGAGCACCAGGAGGAGACATAGGGAGAGAATAGCTTCCCCTGTCCAGAACAGTTGATGCTCTGGTCTTGAGGAGACTGAGTGGTTTTCATTCACAGTCCACTGTTATTGAAAATAATGCACACAAGA